TTGAACCACCAACCTTCTGGTTAGCAGTCAAGCGCCTTAGGCACTATGTCACCAGAGCTCTGTGTGTGTGTATGTGTGTGTATTTAATTTTTACTGTGATTTGGGTGAAAGTTTACAGAGCAAATTCACTTCCCATACAGAAGCTCACATACACTTTGTCTCATGACATTGACTACAATTTACCACAATGCAACAGTTTATTTATTTTTTTTAAAGGGGGCAATTAAATATCATCCTGGGAGCTCTGGTAGTATAGTGCCTAAGACACTTGACTGCTAACCAGAAGGCTGGTGATTTAAACCCACCAGCTACTCCTCAGAAGGAAGATGGGGCAATCTACTTCTGTAGTGATACTGCCTCAGAAACCCAAGGAGGGGTTGCTACGAGTCAGGTCTGACTCTACGGCATATAACAACAACAACAAATATCATTCTAAACACAGTTATAGTTATAGAGTATGAGTGATGTTTTCATCATATTCAACAAAGCCATAAGTTCCTATTTCAGGAAATATAAATTAAAATAAGGACAAAATAATTGACCAACCTTCCCAATATCTTTACAAAAGTTGTAACAAAGTCTTTGACCAGTATTTTATTACTTCACTTCAATCCACCGCTATCTTTTCCTTTACGGTTTTGAATCTTCCTTTTTCTCTCACAAAGTGACATCTATTCACTCATGCTATTACAACTTCCACCTATTTATCACTTGCTGTCATGAGTGTACAGTTTTGGGCACAGGTTAAAATCATGGCTTCATCTTTGATGAACATAATCAATTGATTCTTCTAATTATTTGTGGACATAATTGTAAAGGAACACAGGTCAACAATATCTGAAAAATCTCTAATACAAAGGGATAACATTTGGGAGATTTAAAATTATTCCTACTTTACCTGGACTAACATGTCTTCAGCGCTCAAAAACAACTCTTCTGCTTCCTTGGTCTTGCCCAAATGCATCAAAAATCTTGCGATAAAGAATATTAATCGGCATTTGTCAATGGTGGTGATATCAAAAACCTTGTATTCCAGCACTAGAATGAAAACAAAAGCAAATAATCCTAAAGCATATTTAGAAAAGAATAAGGAATACCCACTACTTAATTTTGATGTTGTTGTTGTGTGCCATCGAGTTGGACCTGACTCATAGTGACCCCTCCTTGGTTTTCTGAGGCGGTATCACTATGGAAGTAGATTGTCCAATCTTCCTTCCAAGGAGTGGCTGGTGGGTTTGAACTGCCAGGCTTCCAGTTAGCAGTCAAGTGTCTTAGGCACTATGCTACCAGGGCTCCCAGACACTATGCTGTAGAGAAGTTAAATACATTCTATAGCTCAGTGACTCCTCTCTCAATGGATTAGCATTTTGCTTTGAAAAGGTTTACATATATTACCAAAGTATCTCAACTATGAAATGAAAAATACTATGATGCTTTCAAATACACTTGATATGTATATTTTGAAAACTAGAGGGTCTGTCAGTTTGTTGCACAATGGTGGCTTGCACGTTGTTGTGATACTAGAAGCTATGCCACTGGTATTTCAAATACTAGCAAGGTCACTCATGATGGAAAGATTTCAGAGGCGCTTCCAGACTAAGACAGATGAGGAAGAAGGATATTGCTGACTGTTCTGGTTCCCTAGTGCTGCTCTGACAGGAACAGACCACAAATGGGATGGTTTTAACAAGCAGGAGTTTATTCTCTTACAGTTTGAAGACTATAAATCCAATTCAAAGTGCCAGGCTCTATAGGCTGGCTGAAAGCTCCTCAACCTTGGGCTTCAGCTCTGTCTCCTGCTCCCAGCCCACTGAAGCTAGAGGCTTTTCTTCACTCAGACAGCTACTGGCTGCTGAGACTGACAAGCCCAAGGTTGACAAGTAAAAAACACAGTCCCACTGTTACCAAACCACACAGCAGGCCATTAATTCAAGTCCACTGAGAGGCCCAAGGTCGGCAGAGTATGGCAGGCTGCTGAACAATGACATGGCTACATGGAGGGTTCAAGCATGCCATCAACTTGAGACCATTGCCAAAGGTGTTTCTTATATGTGGGAAGCAGATCACATACCCAAAGCAGCTACTCAGCTGCTCCTATGGATTCCACCATGGAGTTAATTACCAGTCTCACCATGGGGAATAGCTACATTCAGCTGCCTAACCACTCAGGCCCAGCCAAGGTGACACACAAACTTAACCACCACACTGACATTTCTGAAAGAACTGACCACTGAAAACCTTAGGAATAGCAGTGACACATTTTCTGATATAGTGCAAGAAGATGAGACCCTCAGGTTGGAAGGCACTCAAAATACAACTAGGGAAGAGCTGCCTCCTCAAACTAGAGTTGCCCCATATGACGTGCATGGAGTAAAGCTTTCAGGATTTTTATTTGATGATGTGGCACAACTCAACATGAGAAGAAAAAACAGAAAACATCCATTTATAATAAGAATGCACAAAGTATGAATCTAGGAAAATTAGAAGTCATCTAAAATGAAATAGAATCCATAAAGATAGGTATCTTAGGCATTAGTGAGCTGAAATTGACTGGTTATTGGCCATTTTGAACCTATCATGTGGTCTGCTATGCAGGGATCTATTTACATAGAGCTACCACTTCAGAAACCCAAGGAGGGATCTGCAACCTATACAACTATGAGACCAGAAGAACTAGATGGTGCCTGGCTACCACTGTCATCCACTTGGAAGGGATGTAGGAGATCCTGGATAGAGAGGGAGAACAATGTGGAACAAAACTCAAAATCATTTGGAGAGGAAAAAAAAAAAAAAGATGGTTGGGACCAGGTTTGCTGGTCCAATGGAGCCTGGTGGAACCACTGAGACTATGGCCCCTAGCTACCCTTCAGGTCTGGAATTGAACCCACACCTGTGGTTTCCAGCCAAACAAAGTACAGGCATGTGAGTTAAACATTTACCTCAAGTAGACACACGCCCTGGAGAGAACAATCATGGGAGAAGGAAGGGTTGCTTATGCACAGGGAGACAGCTCATGGGGCAGGAGAGTATGGAGGGATGGACACTGGGAAGTGGTAACTATGGGTAGGAAGTGGGAGGGGAGCTGTTGCATTGTGGTAAACTGTGGTCAATGACATGAGACAAAGTATATGTGAACTGCTGTATAGAAAGTGAATTTGCTCTGTAAATCTTCACCCAAATCACAATTAAAAAAAAAAAAAAAAAAAAAAAAAAAAAAAAAATTCCCTTTGATAACTGAAAAAAAAAAAAAAAGAAACCCAAGGAGGGGTCACTATGAGTGGGACCCAACTCCACGGCAGTGAGTATAAGAAAGACCAGTTAGTACGACTATTCAATTTTGCACACCAACCACTAAAGAAAGCCAAAGATGAAGAAATTGAAGACTTTTACCAACTTCTGTGGTATGATATTGACTAAACATGCAATCAAGATGTATTGATAATTACTAGTGATTAGAATGCAAAAGTTGGGAACAAAGAAGAATCATCAGTAGTTGGAAAATACAGCCTTGGTAATAGAAATGCCACTGGAGATTGCATGGTAGAATTTTGCACAACCAATAACTTATTCATTGCAAATACCTTTTTCAACAACATAAACAGCTAGTACACATGTGGACCTTGCCAAATGGAATACACAGAAATCAAACCGACTACATCTGTGGAAAGAAACTACGCAGAAGCTCAATATCATCAGTCAGAACAAGCACCAATTGTGGAACAGGCCATCAATTGCTCCTATGCAAGTTAAACTGGAGCTGAAGAAATTAAAACAAGTCAATGAATGCTAAAATATGACCTTAAGTACATCACACTGAATTTAGAGACCATCTGAAAAATAAGACTTGATACATTGAACACCAATGACCAAAGACTAGATTAATTGTGGGAAGACCTCAAGAACATTAAACATGAAGGAAGCAAATCCACTACCATCGAGTCAGTTCCAACTAATAACGACCCTATAGGTCAGAGCAGAACTGCCCCATAGAGTTTCCAAGGCTATAAATCTTTATGGAAGCAGAGAGCCTCATCTTTTTCCCACAGAGCAGCTAGTGGGTTCAAACCATTGGCCTTTTGGTTAGCAGCCCAATGCTTTAACCACAGCACCACCAAAGCTTCTTGAAGAAAGAAAAAGGTCATTTAAAAAGACAGGAAAGAAAGGAAAAAGCAAAATGATTATCAGAAAAGACTCTGAAACTTGCTCTTGAGTGGAGAGTAGCTAAAGTGAATGGAAGAAATGATGATATAAAAGAGCTGATCAGAAAATTTCAAAGGGCAGCTTGAGAAGACAAACTATTACAATGAAATGTGCAAAAAAAAAAACACAGTTAGAAAATCAAAAGGGAAGAGCACACTTAGCATTTCTTAAGCTGAAAGAACTGAAGAAAAAATTCAAGGCTAGAGTTGAAACAATGAAGGATTCTATGAACAAAATGTGAGCAGCTCTGGCGGCGCAGTGGTTAAAGCATTACGTAGCTAACCAGAAGTTCAGAGGTTTGAACTCACCAGCTCTCCCTGGGAGAAAGATATGGCAGTTTGCTTCCATACAGAATTATAGACTTAGAAACCCTATGAGCAGTTCTAATCTGCCCTATAGGGTTGCTATGAGTTGGAATTGACTCAGTGGCAGTGGGTTTGGTTTTTTGGTTTATAGGAAAAATATTAAATGATGCAGGAAGCATAAAAAGAAGATGGAAGGAATAAACAGTCAATGTAGCAAAAATAATTGATCAATGTTCAATCATTTCAGTAGGTACCATATGACCAAGAACTACTAATAGTACTGAAGGAAGAAGTTGAATCTGCACTGAAGGAATTGGGAAAAAAAAAGGCTCCAGGAATTGATGGAATACCCATTGAGATGTTTCAACAAACAGTGCATCACTGGAAGAACTCACTGATCTGTGCCAAGAAATTTGGAAGATAGCTACCAGGCCAACTGACTGGAAGAGATACATATTTGTGCCATTCCAGAGAAAGGTGATCCAACAGAATGTAGAAATTAATGAACAATATCACAAATATCACATGCAAGTAAAATTTGGATGAAAATAATTTAAAAATGATTGAAGCAATACATTGACAAAGAACTTCCAGAAATTCAAACTGAATTCAGAAGGGAACATGGAACTAGGGATTTCATTGCTGATGTCAGATGGTTCTTGGCTAAAAGAAAAGAACACCAGAAAGATGTTTACGTGTGTTTTACTGACTACGCAAAGGCATTCAATTGTGTGGATCATAACAAATTATGGATAACACTGGAAATAATGGGAATTCCAAAATACTTAATTGTTTGTGCTCATGAGCCTGTAAGTAGATCAAAAGGCAGTCATTACAACAGAACAAGGGGATACTGTATGGTTTAAAAATCAGGAAAGGGAGTTCTGGCAAGATGGCAGACTAGGCAGAAGGACTGCACAGACCCTCTTCAACAAAGAAAAGGGAAACCAATTGACACAGACACAAAAGATAATCTTGGACCCCTGAGCCTTGAAGGGAAGGATACAGAA